CACCACTCCATGAGCTATGCAGTCGGGGTTGCTTATTTTGGGAAGTCGTAGGAGTCAACACACCATGAGAAACAATGTGAAGTTCCATCTATGAGCAGGAAGATGGTTTTCTGAGGCATCTCCCCTGGCAGGTCAGTACTGTGAGCAACGACGATGCCCTGTGTAGCTTTGGAAACTTTCCTAGAGCATGTCCACTCATCAACACCATTCACATTTCCTGCAAGCATCCAAAACACAGGATATTGCAAGAAAACCCCATCTGAACACAGGAAAGCCTTGCATTAATATACTAAAGCCCACCCCCGAGAGTAAAGAAAGGGAAATGCTACCACTATATATATACACTCTGCAAAGAAATGTCCAATGGAGGTTGCTGTTAGCTCAGACTCCAGGACCCACCCCCAGCTTTTTCCAAATAGCATCTAGAAGATTTAATCTTTTTCCCCGACTGTTTTTGCAAAGAGCTGCTTTTAGTCCCAAATGCTTCTCATACAGATCCCATTTCTGCAAATTTATAGACTTGCATGATATCTTTAAGGATTGTTTGGTTTAGAAACAGCTCATGTGACTCATTCCTGTTGTGTGGCTGGTTAATATTTGTGAGTGGCTAATGACATTTCTGGTCAGAGGAGACAATTTTTCAAAAAGCAAAACCAACACTGAATATAGTTGTTTGGTTTACAGGAACAGTCTTTCCCAAATACTTCTCTGACCTAAAAAAAAACCTACGCAGAGGATTTTCTGAAGTTCTCACTGACTTAGCTGTGAGTGGTCACGCCCTGTGCTGAAGAGACTAGCACGGAGGTGCGGGAGCAAATACTAGCTTAGGTTCAAACAGTCCTTCCCAAATACCATTTTGCAGCAGGCAGCTACTTCTACATTTATTCCTCTGCAGACACATATTTTGCTTGACATAGGCTTGCACCAGTAAAACTGGCTTTGTCAAGAAGAGATTGTCCGCTTTGAAGAGCTCGCTCAACAGTTTCAAGAAGCATCCTCTCCCTTCAGTTGTGCAGAAAATCAGGAGAAAAGACATGACACATCAGCGTGAGAAAATGGGAGCCACTGAGTAATCCAAACCAGCAGAGATAGCAATTTAGCTCCAATTTACACAAAATGGAAGATGTAACAGGTGGAGGCAGCTTTAGTGAACTTGTGATGTGTTCATCAGGACACAGTCAGTCAGTATTTCTAAATGATCAGGACTGAAAGTATGAGGGTATTTTTGTCAGAGGAAGAAAACTGGAACAATGCTGAAGCAGAAAACCACAAATAAGAGGAAACAGGACAGCTCTCAATTAAAAAATTGAGGTTTTGCATAGATGGCAAACCAGAAATTTGGGCAGTTTAGGAATGAAGAAAGAGCAACTTCTCTTTGGACATAATTCAGCTTGAACTTTCAGCTAGACTATAAGGTAAAAGCCAGCCACAAATTACTAAATGAAGCAGGGATATTATAGAATCATAGAATCATTAAGGTTGGAAAAGACCTCTAAGATCATCGAGTCCAACCATCGACCCAACACCACCATGTCCACTAAACCATGTCCCTAAGCGCCTCATCTACACGTCTTTTAAATACTTCCAGGGATGGGGACTCAACCACTTCCCTGGGCAGCCTGTTCCAATGTTTAACCACTCTTTCAGTAAAGA